TCCGTGCTAACTCACACGCCAGCAGACAAGCGCACCTGTTTGCGCAGCCTGTTCACATGGCTCCGGTCGCGTGGCTCCCTGGGGGCCTGGGCGAAGTAGGGGCCTAGGTGGGGCTTGACCTGGCCCAGCTCCACTCAGCTGCCTCCTCCCGCTCACTCAGGGATTAACCCCCTCCCACCATGGGCCTTACTTGCCTCTGGCTGTGCTGGGGGTTGGCAGGGGGCTCCGTTGCTGCTGGGAGGTCTTTGGGGGGCTCGGGGGAGCGGGGGCATAGCGGGCTTTCACACGCGCATCTCTCGCCACTCCAGAGTATAATTGGGGCTTTGATCGTTACAGAGAGTTGTTCTTTCTGTGCATGCACTCTCTCTCAGGAAAGTCAGCACAGAATCTGACCCTGAATATCTTGCTATTAATATAAAGATGAAAATTTCACAGGCATGTGTAGCTTCCAGTTCGGTCAGTGTGAGTGCTGTGCATGATTCAAGGGCTGGGGGATTAGCCGGAGGGTGACTGTACCAGAAAGGACTTTTAAAGACAAATACTGCTTCTTTGAAAGAAGATTTTTCCCCCCCTACAAAGCTCAGGAAGAATGTAAAAACCAACAGGGTATCCACAGCAACTTGCAGCTTTACAAAAGACTCTTTGGGGCATCCTTTATTTTTAATCTTTTTTGTTTTTCCTGCTACCCAGTTTAAATTAGATGGTTATGTCTTTATCTCTCTGTTTTAAAGGCACAGTCAATAACACTCTCCCACAGCTTGTAAATGCAAATTCTTTTACAGTGCAGCTTTGGTTCAAAGTTCTCCCTCAGATTTTAAAGTGAACACTTTGTTTTCCAAAAAGGGATTACTGTGCTTCACATAAAGAAAGCAGTAAGTCTGTTTCTTGAGATCTGGAGCAACTGAAGAAGAAGAAAGGTGGAACTAATCTGCTAAGTGGAGTTCACTTGAAGGTATATAAAACAACAATTCAGCAAAATCATCATTAAAACTTGAGCTCAACTCTAGTTTACCACCTCTAAGAATTGGGAATTTACAAAAACTGCATTCCCTAAAAACATTTATCGCAGTATCAGAATATGGAAAACATTGCATTGCCAGGTACCTTCTTATTCAATTTAGGGACATCCAAGTTGCCAAGTTGTGTGCACAGAAGGGGTGACCTTCCAGGAATATAGGGCCCAAGCCATACAGGCACAATAGTAACTGCTAACTATTTAATATTGCAAAATAGATGCTTATCCTCGGTACCAATTGCCATCAGTTCCCCCTGCTGCCACTGTCACCATTGCTTTCCCTTGAAAGTGGTCCTAGGATAGAATAGCAAAGGTAGATCTTGTGCACCAAGAACAGGAGGCACCAACCTAAGTGAAAGCATCTTCCCCCCCGTCTCCAGCACACAATAGTTAATGCATTCAACAAACTGACTCTTTAAGGAAGACAGAAGCAGTGTTATGTAGGGTCCTGCATACAGCAAAGCAGATTAATTTGTGTGTATGTTTTGAATTTAAAACCCTATATTTTGTCTCCCCATTTGCATGAAATGACTCACTGGACCCTAGATGAAAAACTACATGAAGGGCCATGTGGTTCAGGCCCCCTCCAGTACTGTAACAAAATTCATTCCCTAGTAAACCTAAAGAGAAGCAGATACAATGGCCGTAAAAACAATGGGCCAAGTTCTCCACTGGTGTTAACTAGTAGAGAACTATTAGCTAGAAAGAACAACGTGACTGACTTCAATGTGCGTGAACCCAGTGGAAACATGCCAGTTGATACAAACTGATCATGCACCCACTGTGCTTGGCAAAATACAGCAGCCAGAGTATCTCCTCTAACCCTCCTTTATAAATGTCAGTGCAGTTATGCCACTTAACACCTACCTATTCTGGCCCAGTGGATTGAATTAACAAGTGTAACAAAGATGTATCTGGCTCAATCGTCTTGAAAAGCAATCAGTCACTTGCATAAATTCCCCCGTGTATTAGGTAGGCAACTGTTGATCTTCTGGATAATGGTGTATGCATAAGAGGTCTAGTCAGGTACTTGATGAATCCACTTGTACAGAGTCCTGCAACTATCACACCAAGATCTTTGATGAGTACGCCTAGGCAAGAGTATGGAGCAGTCGAGGCTGCCCAAGACCTACCATCCCCCATTTAAAACCCTGAAACAGAATGCAAAGGCCAAACTGAGTCCAGATGTTCAGTGCCTTCATGATTGTAGCTTCTGGCAGACAGCAACAGATAAGAGCTGCTGCTGACTGCCCAACAACAATGGCAAAATTGAGGGGACATTTCTGGCAGGGTGATGTTTTTAGCTTTTCTCCAACCAAGGAGAATCTACAAGACAATGGACACATATACATGTTCATTAATGCGCAGTAGTTAGTGTGCATTTAGTTTCGTACTTGCTTAATGAAGTACAAACCAAATGCACAGTAACTATAGTTACTGTGCAGTAGCACTGGCACACAGTTTTTTAGTGACACTGTGCAGTAGCCAAATACCACTGCACAGTAGCATATTACCATGTTTTTTGCCCAGCATGCTACTGCAAAGTGTTATTAGGCTACTGGGCATTAAGTGTCTCATGCAGATGTGTCCAATGAGAGCTAGGGTTCTGAAGTAGCCTATACTCACTTGCCTTACTCTGGAGGTTGCAACTCTGGGGTATTTTATAGGAGCTACCCCACCAGAAGTAGCCCCACCATATTACCACCAGACCGTTCAGTTCATATAATTTATGGTCAAACCCAAAACCTATGTAACCCCCACATATGGTCATAAACAATATATACACCCAAATTCATTTTCCTTGTGAAAGGTCAGCATCTGAAAGGACTTCTCTAGCTCCTTAGGATGTCAGTGAAAGATAACATTTCACAACTTATCTCTCACTTTCCACCCTATTTAATTAAAGTGTGCTGCTCGCTTTGATTAAAGCATGTTTCCATCACAATTAAAAACCTTGTTTGATTAAATCATTTTGCCTAGGCAAGCTGCAAATAATAATAATAATAATACATTGAAATATTTTTGGAGGAAGTTTTGCATCTGTTAACAAGCTGTTCACTCAGCTCCTCACAGTAACCCATTGATCACCAAAATGTACCTATCGGAACATATTGCAATCATTAGTGCATTTAGTGCCGTAAGACCCTTTTGAAGTAGATGTTAACTCCATGCACATATTAACTCCACTTTATACATGAGGAACCTATGAGACAGACATGCTGACTTGTGTCTCAACAGCCACCATGGAGTTTAGAGAAGAATTAAGAACAGAATCTAGGTCTCATCAATCCCTGACCTGTTCTTTAACCCCTCAACCATACCTTTTCTATTATTTGCTGGGAAGGAAAAAGCAAGTATTTACCTACTCAAGACAACAACGATCCTTTTCTGGTTGATAAGCACTATGAGTAGGGAGTTCTGAATACTGGAAATCAGGGTCAGCTGGAGAAGGCAGGTAAGGGGGCTTTGATTCCCCTTACTACCTGCATTATGTCTTAAGAGCAGTTGTACTTCCTTAAACCATTTAGGGTAATTTGGGATTTTAGGCTGTAGTTACATGGCCGTGTTACAAACTTTGGTATGAAAATGTTTTACCTTTTCAAATACTCTGGATTATTTTTGTACTAACTCTTATTTTCTAAAATTGCATATAAATGATCATCGATGTTTCTGGACCCAAAACAACTTTGTTTATTGTCAGGATAGAGTGTAGGCTGGAACTTATTTGCTATATTAAATCTAAGTTCTTAGATTTAGGTTTCAGGTCATCTGGAGACTAACACTTTACCTAAGCTAGTCCTATCCTGATGTTTCTAGAGGAAAAGCCACAGTACACAAGAGGGAGAAAAGGACACTTTTATCTGCATGAATCTGAACTGAAGTCTCCAAGGTATGACCCGGGCTAGATAAAATTGGGCCTTTCAGAGATAAAAAATAATGAAGTGCCAGACCAGTGTACCATTCACCTCTCCTGCTTATTGCCTTCTGCTAAATGCCAGATAAAAAAAATCAAGTGATATAGGAAATGGGGGGAGAGGAGGGGGCAGTTATAATTTTCTTCTGATCATTTGAAGTGAAGCAGGGTCCATGATACAAACTTATCAGTTTCTTAGGTATATTACTGTCGACAGCAGGTGGGTTGTTTTGGTGGGGATAATTACCCATGTAGTGTAAATTGTTATAATTAATATTTTCATTTGATATTTAAGGCTGCCAAGTAATCTGATGGAATCTGTAGTTGCTGTTTATGAAATTTTTTTGCAGTATAATTACAACAAGGTTATATTTAGAAAAATGTTCCATAAGAACATATGGGTAAATACTCTCCTTGGCACTGATTTTATCCTGATATCCAAAAGCAGCTGAGCTTCCAACAAGACTCTCAAGTTATAAACAAAGTAACGAAAAGTAAGAAGAATCCTTCAGTCCAGCAGGTAGATGTTTCTTCCACCATTTCTCTTGGGCATCGTCTTAGCCTACGAGCGTCCTTCTGCCTTGTTATGGCAACTTTGATTTTGACTGTTGAGCCTAGACTTCCATTCTTTGACAACCCTGTTTCCTAATTCCATTAGTTTGTGACTGGGGAAACTGATCTGTTTCTAACCTGCAATTTAAAATTTACATTATAAGAATAGTAGAATAGAAAAATATTTATCTGTTGCTTTGTCACAGGTTACTTGTGGGATTTTTGGCGTATCAGATCTAAGCAGCGACAAGATTTCAG